CCGGTTCTCGGCAGTACTTTCCTCACGATCTGACAGCGTGAGGAAAGTGCAGCCGAGAACCGGCAATTGCATTTCCCGGTGATCAGCGTGCAATTGGACACGGCTTATCACGTGGTAAAAGCCTGCTGTGATTGGCCTTTTACCACATCACATGATCAGCTGTGTCTGTAGGACACAGCCATCATGGAGAACGCCGGGTGCGCGCCGGAGAGCGTGTTCTGGGAGGACTTCATATGACGCCCACCCAGAACTGGCTGGCCGCAGTGTAGCCGTCATTCGGCTATCTGCGGTCGGCAAGTAGTTAACCATTTTGGTTTTAAACGTACTGCACCATGATTTCCTTTTTTGATTCCCCGAACATGATCTATGGTATGGAGACGTGATGACTACCTGCTATTATATTAAGGCTATTCCATATTGTGCTGATTGGCTGCTTGCAGTATATTGCTCCCAGTTTGGATTACTTCTGCTGATCATCGCTCCCAGAGCAAACGCTATCTTTGCTGACTTATAATCTGGTCAGCATGGAGCTCTGGTGAGTGTACCCATTTAATTCAGTGTTTGATTTATACAAGATTTCAGAACTGTTTAATTACTTTGTGATGGTGGATGGACTTTTATACAATATTTTTTTATCACGGACATCATTATTTTAAAACTAATAATTTCTGTATTTACTTATATTTAGCGCACTCTTTGATTTATTCACAGGAATATAAAGGTTTTAATATAGACTGTACAGACCACCACATGACACTATGAAACCACACTATCCATGCACATCTTGTGCAGGTGAAAACAAGGTGTGGGACGACTTATAATGCCTTTAAGCAAAGCCAATACTGACAAGAATTTTGATGCTGCCATCTCTTAAAATGCTAGTTGCCTGGCTGTCATAGTGATTTTAGCACTTGAATGCACTGACTTTGCATGCTTATTTTGTATCACTAACTGAGAACTCTTGGAAAACTAGACTTTTTAAGTGAAGGTCAGCAATTTCCTTTAATACAGAATTGCACAATAAGAATGACTTGCTCTCTTTGCTTTGTATGCTTCCCATTTATCCGGAAGACAAACATCTACAGTATTAACAGTACCCCAGGGCAATACTAGCAAGTGAAAATTGTTCAAGAGAAATATATTTTAAATACAAATGGAGTTAAAAGTATAGACCCTGAGTACTTCTGTTTGTCTACTATTTTTTTTTTTTTATAGCAAAAATGAACAGAAAATTGATACTGAGGTGTTTTTTCTATGTGCCGAAAGCTTGCAAAGAATCCACAGATCTAGAATATGGAAGTGAGAGCAGAAACTGCAGTTAAAAACAATTAAGCAGTTCCCGTTTTCTCTTTATTCACAACTCGACACCTTTGTTTAATAACTGTGTCATGTGTAGGTGACAAATATAAATGCTGCTTGTAATCTACACCTTTGTTTAATAACTGTCATGTGTAGGTGACAATAGAAATGCTTCTTGTAATCTACACCTTTGTTTAATAACCGTGTCATGTGTAGGTGACCAATAGAAATGCCGCTTGTAATCTACACCTTTGTTTAATAACCGTGTCATGTGTAGGCAACCAATAGAAATGCTGCTTGTAATCTACACCTTTGTTTAATAACCGTGTCATGTGTAGGCAACCAATAGAAATGCTGCTTGTAATCTACACCTATGTTTAATAACCGTGTCATGTGTAGGTGACCAATAGAAATGCTGCTTGTAACCAACACCTGGCTGTAAAATCAGGGGCCTGCTAACCAGGATAAGTTGTACCCATGGTTGAGTCAGTCTATTCCGTTCCATTTTGCACTTGACTACCCCCCCCCCCCCCCCCCCCCCCCGCCTGCTACTAGGTGGGCCTGGGCAAGTAGGCATTACACAATTCCCTGATAGTTGGCAAAGGGAATATATAAGAGGTTGGTGGTGGTGGGGATTGAAGGTCCATAATTCATTTTGCTCTCTTCCTATCAGCAGGTTTCTTGTTAAAGCCCTGCAACACAACTGCTTGGCTGTTTCTCTCTCTTCCAGCTTGAGTACTGCTATACAGGGATATCAAGAGGCTGTTTTCAAATGAAATTCAGACACTTGCACTGTTTGCAGTGCAGAAAATCAATTTAATGATTCATCAATTAATAATACATGAGATCTGCATTATTATGTGTCTTTTGTATCTGCCTGGAATTCAGCTTTAATACAGAGTACAGCGACTATCTACAGACTACAAAAGAGAGAATGGTAGTATGGCCACCACTCTTAATGTCCATTTGGTATTTTTTGTTTTAAACATGCACACTAAAAGTCCCTCAACTAAAGTTTAAAGCTAAATACAAGGCATGACAAATATAATATCTATACCTACTGTAAAAGGTTTATTCAAGTCCAGTGAGGGCACAGGAATTCAGAAACAAGTTATACTACCAACTACAGGTGGTTGGGACACTGACAAACAAAGAGTTGGACACCAGCACCCTCCCCCCTGTATATGTTTTTTTTCCCTGGCCCTGGGTACTGCTTGCTCACAGAGGGACAGGACCTGTCTCCTTCAACGGTCTCAAAGAAAAATATTTTACAGCAAGTACAAAAATCTTATCTCCATCATCCATTGAGGGACACAGGAATTCTGTAACAGTCAGGACATCCAAAGGTGGTCCAACTGAGAGGTGGGTAACAGTCACCAACAAAACCTAAAAGAAATTCAGGAGCCAGCTGCATTTCAGAGGAATCTGGACAACTAATGCCCAAATCAAATTTAGATGAGGTAAATCCCTCTGGAAAACTGACATGACCAAAGGGGGTGAGGGCACTGAGGATCACTATGGTGCTCCAAAACTGGACAAGGAAAAAACCACCAAGGGGAACAAGAATAGTAGATATTCACTGAGCCACGTCTCAGGAAAAAACGTGTCTGGAGGGAGATTTGGACAACAGGCATGTCCAAAGTCTGTCTCTTATAAATCAGGAAAAAGGGGTAAAACCCCAGTTTATGGAACTTTAAGGTAAGTCCAAAGTAGAGCATAAGGTGAGTGAGCAGCACTTGTACAATGGATAGACAGGGATAGGGGGGTACACATGCACCATAAGCAGGATCAGTGAGACACCTAACATTCGAAGAAAGGGTACCTAGAGTTTGGCAGGCAGGCCCGCCCTAACCCTGCTTTAACACATGATTGTAAAAATCAACCAACCTCCCCTAGTGCAGTAGTGCACTCTGCGAATGGGCAGAAATTTTATGCCCACTACTGAAAATAAAGAAATTAGTAAACAATCATACAGGAAATCCTACCACCATGAGGAAAGGAACCACCCCATCCCATGCAGAAAGCAGACAGGTTATGTCTAGGACTTCTTGGTCCAAAGAGACCATGGGGATGTCTTGCTGAGTCCAGGCTCCTAGACATAGAGGGGGAGGCAGAAAAGGACTGACAGTCCTCAGAAGAAGGGGAACTATCAGTACTCCCTAAATACTGTAGGAGCCTTGCAAGGGGATGAGGCATTGCCTTGACCAACACAAAAGGAATCAAAAGGTCTACAGGAAGTAAGCATCCCTAGTGAGAACTGAAGCTGAATCGCCTTGCGTATGGATAACTCAAGGTTATCCAAACAAGGCCAGTAGGTGCTAGGTCCATCACAAGGACTCAGACTACAAAACTCAACCTTTTCATCAAAGATCTCATAGGAATGCCACAAAAAAGCACTAGTGCCTAGAGCCAGACTTGAGGTGTTATTAGAATCTTGAATAAAAACACCAAGGATAAAATAATAAAAAGAAGGCTAGCAAAAACTATATATATTTTTTTTTGGAACTAAGGAAAGGCATCCGACAACCTAGGACACTAGCAAAAAAAGAAAAAAAAAAAAACAGGCATGCTGGGTAGGGGATAGGGTACACTGCAGCTGGCGTTCAACTTTTTTCAGTTTTCAGTGTCCCAACCTCTCGTAGGTGCTAACAATCTGCCTGTTGCTGAATTCCAGTGTTCTTCAAAGGACAATGGATATATTTTCATTTGAATATATTCCTCAATAGTCACATAGGATATAAATCCACTTTGGATGCACCAAATGTCTTTCTAAACCCAGTCATCACCTTGTAAAGTAACAGTGATGACATCAGAGAGCAGATTTGTTGGAGGGACCCAATAGATTCACCCACTACAGGCTGCCTTCAGAAAACTAGGGCTAGATGGGGCCAGTCACCCTGTACAAGTAGAGAGAGGACAGCAGTGACTGATTTTAATAGAGGAGGCTTCAGCACAGACACACACAATGTTTTCACTGAATTACTGCACAGCTTTGGAACAAACACTCATACCTTTTTGTATTTAGACAATATTTGTTTATCTCAGGGTTCAGCTTTTAAACTCTTTTTACCTTTATATTCATTTTTAGGGGTTATCTTTGGTTTACACAACAAATATACACAGAACTATTTTACTGCTGGCAGAACTTTAGTGATATAATGGGCCAGAAAGTGAAATGGACTATTCTTTCTACTAAACACTGGAACCCAAGAAAATGTTTTCCTTTGGCCAACTTTTTTTCTAAACGTGTGTGTGTATTTTTTTTTTTTCATCTTACATTTCTGATTGGTTTACTACACATTATTACAAAGCGTTTTTATTTTTAACAGTTTTTGCAGCAAGGAAGTTGACAGTGAGGTACAACACGGGCATTAGAGGACTGCAGAAACCAGACCAAGTTTAACCATTTTAATTCAGTTAAATGTCTGAAAGAGAATAGCAATTATCAGTGAAAGTTTTAAAGCAAAGGATACATTCTCAGTTTTTTTAGGTCTGTTTTCATGCTTGAGCAGACTTTTGTAAACTCTTTATACATCCTGACTATTCAATAGAATCACTGGATGTTCTCTACACAAATCAAGGTGAGGCGAGGCAGTTAGAAGACACCTTAAGAAGTCAACTTCATAACTGAATCCAAAATGAGAATTAACCAGTATGCTGTCTACAAGCCACATGAAGTAACAACGGTGATCATACAGAGCTTATTGCATGCTGTCGGTATGCATAGGCCAGGGACCAGAAGCCACATCTTCCCCGGGATTCGTTCCTGCACCTTGTGGAGCAAGTGCTTGGGCCTGCTGGCTCTGCCACAATTGATGAAGTTCTTTGAACTGTTCCACCATTTTGTCCTTTAAATCTGGATGTGATATTTGGAGTTTTATACTACTCTGCAGACCAGGACAGCTCCCCGGAGAAGATTTCAGAAAGCAAGCGGGCAGCCACAGGAATAACCTAGAATTACAAAATAAATTAGTAACAAAACTGCAGATAAAGTCACACTAGTTTCCCCCCCCCCATTGTATCTTTACTTATATACAACATAAAAGCCCAGTCTACATCGGCTTGTTAGATCAGTTTCTACCAGGGGTGGACTGACCATTTGGAAACTCAGGCACTGCCTGAGGGCCCAGGGTCAGTAGGGGGACCCATGAGATGCTCCTGGTACCTTTTTCATAGGCTTTTTTTGAGTTTGGGCAAGGACACAGGGGCCCCATGATCCCCTATTGCCCGGGGGGCCCCATGTGTTGTCAGTCCGCCCCCTGGTTTCTACTTTGTTTTTATTGCTCCATGTAAGACAATGCGAATGGTAAACTTTATATCAGAGCCCATGTACACAGGCCTTTGAAGTGTATCTGGTAAATATACCATTAGAAGTGTTTGCTTACTGGATATCAGTTTGAGAAATTTAAAAACAATCTTTTCATTTTGCCAGAAATTTTGTGAGCCGATAACAGTCAGCATTAGCAGAAAGAAAAGGAAGTTATCAATTATATGGTTCTCAGCAATCTTTGAGGACTACAGTACCCAGCCATTCCAAGTTATGTAGAACAGGAAAGGGGTGGGGTTCTGTAGTGCAATGTCATTTCGGTTGTCTTAATATGGAAGGGTCAGTATTGCCATTCTAGGACTGGAAATATGTTACTGGCAGAATCACCAGATGAAAATAAAAGTTTAAAATATAAAAACTAATGCAATCACTACATCTATCGGTAAAATGCAATAAATACATTCTTTGTTCCTAAATAAAGAAGTGAGATGGTTTTCACTCTCTGGCAAAAACAGTTTGTGAGCTATCCTCTCCCTTCCTGACTATGTAATCACTATATCACCCATGACAGTGACCTATAGATGCATGCCTATTTTAATATTAGATTACACATACCAATACATACACTGATGCTGCTAAATTTGAGATTTTCCTGAGTATTGAGGCTTCAGTGACCTCTGGCACAAAAGGGTTAATACACATCTTTCAGTATTTAATTACCTGTACGGTGATGAGAGTTTTTTCTCCTTTGGTTTTTGGTCTGGCCATTCTTCACCAAAACAGAAGAATATTTCATATGGGGGCAATGCATTTGTTTGACCTTTCTGGCAAGCAATGAGCTCTGAAAATAAAAGAAATACTACACTGATAACTCCCATACACATCTTAACCACAACCAATGTAAGAGCATTGTGATGGAGCTGTCAGAATATCTACACTTGCTTAAAGCAATACCTGGCCACATTCAGAGCGGCACGGTGGTCTCTTGTACTCACACTATAAACACTTTCCAAAGTGAAACTGAGCAGTGAATGCCATTCATGCATTCTAGCATACCGCAGAGGTCTCTCTAAATGGGTGCAGCACACAAAGGTCAGCTCTAAGGTCACAGATTTCATATATGTAGCTGAAGCTAATTTTCGGCCATGTAAGTGCATAATTGTATCCTAAGCTGATTATAATTGTATTGTCTATACTGATGGAAGATTTTATATAAAAAATATATATTGATATATATGTTTGTTGTAGGCGTCATGCCATTTTGAGCACTTCTGAGGAAGAGATTGTGATTGGTCTCGAAACGCGTCAAGTATAACTATATGCATGACTTATTTTTATATCTTCACTGTCAAATCATTTCTGATGATACTGCCATGCTCTGTATTGTAATTCATATGTCTTTTTTTAAGATTGTAAAAGTAAAAATCGTTTTCTTTTAAATTTCTGAATGGTTAGTCTACCATTTGCTAAAATTTGAGCCTTAAAAGTCCCATCAATTAAGAGGGCTTCTCCACTGTGTAAACAGAACAGCAATGTGGCTGTTTCTTCTCCCTGAAAAAGCAGGGAGAAAGAGCAGCCAGATCTGTGAGTAAAAGCAGCATACATTACACTTGTTAGGCACACTGGCTAGGAAAGGTTTAATATCAAGAGGCAATGAAGGGGTTTACAGTGTCATTACTACAGTGTACAGTATTATCACTGATCACTATATTAGTGTCAATAGCGATGTCAGTTAGTGCCAGATTACCCACCACACTATAGGTTGCTGATCACGACCATTACTAGTATAGTGTCTGTACAGATCAGTATCTTGATCACGATCAGAACTATACTAGTGTCCCCAAAAATGCAGTTTGGTTTTTACCAAAGACATATAGCAGAATACATTTTGGCCTAAATGTATTAAGAAATGTGATTTTATTGGATAGGTTTTATAACAAAGTAGAAAAAAGGTACAGTGTTGAATGACCAAGCAATTGCTTGTTAAAGTAGTACAGTGCTGAATAGCAAAAAAAAGTATTGGATCAAGAAGAGGATAAAACTTTCCAGGGGCCAAGCGGTTATGTTTTTGGTAGATCCTGTGAGGTAATATCACCTAATGGTTTCTAATTTCCCATGGGGTTTCCATTGGTGAGGTACCTGTATGTGCGTTTATAGGTCTGCAGACCAACTCCTGGCACTAAATGTACATACAGTTGTGCTCAAAAGTTTACATACCGTGGCAGAAATTGTGAAATTTTGACAATGATATTGAAAATACGACTGATCATGACAAAAAATGCTCTTTTATTGAAGGATGATGGTCATATAAAGCCTTTTATCAAATAGTTGTTTGGCTCCTTTTTAAATCATAATAACAGAAATCACCCAAATGGCCATGATCAAAAAAGTTTACATACTCTGGAATGTTTGGCCTTGGTACAGACACACAAGGTGACACACACGGGTTATGGCTGCAATCTTTCTTGGTCTACCTGACCTTGGCTTGGTATCAAGAGATCCCCAAACTTTACACTTCTTAATAGGTGATTTAGCAGTACTGATTGTCATATTCAAAGCTTTGGACATCTTTTTATGTCCTTTTCCATCTTTATTATTATTATTATACAGTATTTATAAAGCGCCAATAGTTCGCTCAGCGCTGTACATTACAGAGGGGGACAGAACATGTGACAGAACAATACCAATACAATGCAAAACATGAGGGGATTGAGGGCCCTGCTCTTTATAACATTCCATTACCTTGTTACGCAGAACTTTTGACAGTTCTTTTCTGATACCCATGGCTCAGTATCTAGCCTAGTCAGTGCTTCCACATAAGATCTAACAAACTCATTGACTATTTATAAACTGACACGAATTGCAATTTAAAAAGCTACAGCTGTGGGACATTAACCTCTAATTGGCATTTTAACCCGTGTGTGTCACCTTGTGTGTCTGTACCAAGGCCAAACATTCCAGGGTATGTAAACTTGTGATTATGGCCATTTGGGTGATTTCTGCTATCATTATGATTTAAAAAGGAGCCCAACAACTATTTGATAATAAATGGCTTCATATGATCATCATCCTTTAATAAAGGAGCATTTTTTTGGCATGATCAGTCCTATGTTCAATATCAATGCCAAAATTTCACAATTTCTACCAGGGTATGCAAACTTGTGAGCACAACTGTATGTATACACACACTTTCCCTTGTGGGGATGAAGCTCACTAATCCACTCCACCTGAGTGGACAAGTAAAAATATGTACAGCAACAAATTAGCCAGTGCATCCCATGCCCCACAAAGCACACCAATTTAAAGTGTCAAATGACTACAGAGATACTTGTGTGCTATGAAGGGAGTGTTAAGTGATGATTTAATTTGTTAATTGATACTCTCCTTTCTGGCATTTGGCTTTCAGCACTATCAAGGGTCAGGTTTCTACACTTTCTCTTCTGTTTTAGAGACTTCAAGGGAGGAAGAATGAGCTCCGCAGTCACTTTTGCAGCAGTCATCTTCTTCTTCAGGGGTCACAATCTTGTGCAGTGTCCTTTTGTCCCGTTCGGTCAGTTGACCATGTCGACTGCACTTATGCTTATCAGATGATGTTTTCCCAGAAAACTGTAAATGCTGTCATAACCGTTGATACTGTACCTTGTGACACGGAAAATATATTGGCAACTTCAGTCTCAGAGGCACCAGCTAAGCGGCACCAACAATTTGCCCTCTTTTGAAGCTCAGTAAGCTCTGACATGACTTCATATCACTAGCAACGCACGCAGTGAATGACTAAAGTGGGCTTCCCACCTGTTAACTAGTATCTCATCACACAGAGTGTTACATCACTTACGATTTCAACCTGCAAATCATGTAGTGTTTCCATTTTTCTTGTCTTAACACCTGTAGCTCTCCCTATTTCCATGTGAGTCCATGGGATTGTACTTCAAAAACTGCTCTTTGGACCCAATAGAGGCCTTTATTACTTTCAGGTTTTGCACTGGGACAAGGTGGTGCTAAAGCCCAGGATTTCCTTCTTGCTCAAGGTAGTTTGACTTTCACCTCAACCAGGGCATTGTTCCCTCTATCCAGCTTCAGTTCACCAAAAAGAAAAGACCCTCCAATGTCTGCATGTGCTTTGGGTTCTCAGGCACCGCTTCTTTCAGAAAGAATGATTCCCTTTTCATTTCAACATCTCTAGTTGGCTCAGGCAGACCATCATTGAAACATGGTCTTGAGCATCAGTTTACACCCCTTGGACAAAAGGTCTTCAGGTGGCTCATTGAGCTGAAGGGCTTTCCCAGTTCTATTGTTTCTTCTTGGGGTTATTGCCTTGTTTTCTTGGACAAAAAATAAAAATAGTATATATTTATTGTACATTACAGGACAAAGACTGGATATTCAAAGACTCTGGGTCATAGACTAGTAGTTTCAGATGATTGGACACTGGCACAGCCAAACGTGGGCTTATGCCTATAAGGCTGACCATACACTATACAATTTTTTGTTCAATTTCTTTTAGATTTACCTTCAACTATGTAGTGCAAGGGCCTGCCTAACTGGATACAACTGGGAGTGTTGTTTAGGTTTTACCTCGTGTTCTATGGTTTTGGTAAATCTAAAGCAAAACTTTCAAGAAAATTGTATAATGTATGGCCAGCCTAACCCTACCTCACTCTGTGAGACTCATTTTTTCTAGTGTCTTGTAGGTGATGCACCTTCCTTATGGAGAGGTTTCTGTGCTTAGCTAGTTCTTATTTACTTCAAATTCTTCAGTCAACCTCTTCATTGCCTTCTACTACAACAATAAAAGTAGTGAATGTGGATCCGTGCAACCCCAGGAGAAATAATGGCAACTGTACCTGGACCCCACACTGTGGGAGATGGCCTATAATGTTGCTTTGGGCACTGGATCATGCTTTGGCATTCACCTCGGCACTTGCAGCGCGTGTAGTTTGCTGCAGGGTGCTATACAGGTCTATGGCCATAGTCCTTTCCTATGGTTCCCAGACCCTGAAGACCTCTCCAAGGATATGCTCACCATGACAGACAAAGCCTGGACCAGCAATGTGGAAAGGTAGAAACAGGTTCATCCTGTTTTCAGACTGTTACTGCAGACTTATATGTATGAGACTTACTATCTCCACCACTTGTAGTGCACGTATTTGTGTCTACTTAATAGTATTCATTTTTATGATTAAAACCATCAGGAATTCTGTTTGACTTTAGTACTTCTTGAGTGTTCTAAACTTTCAATCTTGACAATAAAAAAAATTCCACCATTTAGAGTTTAGTCTCAGGTGGAGGGGCAGATGTTACATCTCACCACAGGTTGCATTATTACCACCAACTTCCGCCCATAGCCCTTATAAAAGGTACTCAGGCAACTCACCCTGCCCTTTTGCCTCAAGGACGTCCCTACAGGAGAGTCGGAACCTTGGTTGTTGCGTATCCGTCTTAGGACATGCTTACCCCATTCCTGCACCTTACTCAGGTAATTGCAGCAAAATCCTGGGCAAACATTCACTCTGCTGATGGCATGCAAAGCACTCACACCACTCAGAAGGGGTACACAATCAAAGTTTCAAACTCCACCCCCTCACAGTTTTCTTCTCTCAAACCAACCAAAATCTGCCCAGGGACATTTAGATTTACATACTATTCTGGACAATCTCTTTTCCCAGGAAGTGGTTGTTCCAGTCTGGAGGACTATTCAAACCTGTTCACAGTACCAAACTCAAAGTACCTTTGTGTTCACAGGTTTCGCATGGAATCTGCAAGGCCAATTATTGCCTCTCAGAGACAAGGGGAATACTTGGCATCAGTAGACATTCAAGAAGCCTACCTCCATATTCCCAT